CCGAGAAGCTGCGCGCCACACGACACATCCTGAGTGAGTATGGAAACATGTCAAGTGCTTGTGTTCTGTTCATATTGGATGAGATGCGGAAGAAGTCGATTGAGGACGGGCTCAAGACCACTGGAGAAGGGCTCGAATGGGGTGTGCTGTTTGGGTTCGGACCAGGGCTAACAGTTGAGACTGTGGTGCTTCACAGTATCGCTGCCTAGAGAGAGAGATGGAGGCTCCAAAATCTCTCTCTCTAGGTCAAATGAGAGAGACCGTGGTGCTTCACAGCATTTTGTACTTCTTTTCTTTCCCCTCTCAGGTCAAATGAGATGTGGGTCGTTTGTGTTTGATTTGGTTTTATAATTGTAGTATGCAAATTTCCTTCTACCTAAAGATATAAGAGGATGTGTTAATTTATATTTAATAAWATATTGTTATCACTACGTTCTTGGGTTATATACAAGTGATTCAGTGGATTAATTACTTTGCATTACAGCTTCTGGGTTTACTGATGAATTGATGAGTCTTGGATGGGTTGTATGCTTTACTTTCCAAATTTCTTAAGACAAGCCTCAAATGGGCCTGCAAATCTTCAATGCAGCACACCATCAGCATTGAAAGAAGTGGATTATTGGCAATTGGCACAGAAATAGGACCCAACATTGATTTACACTCCATTAACCAAGTTCATCAATGAATTAAGTGATTGTCCAATTCTCTTACGCAATTTCTTTGGAACCAAACGCTTTCTGCCAAGAGTGGAAAGCTCTTACGCTTTCCTTTTCTTTTCGTACATTTTCTTTTAAACCAAACACAGATCCCACAAGCACATCTCAGCGTGTACTGGGGACATCTCTCGAACTTGTCATTGGGAGATGTTCCCAATACACAGTTGGGATGTTTTGTTGGGCGTTTATCGGGGCACGCACTGTGGGGCGCAGATGTGAATTCGCAAAACACAAACACAGTCAGGCAAAAGTAGAAGTAAGAATTAAGCTAGGCAAACGAGCCCCTGTTGACTCCATGGGTCCATAATTAGTTAGGATAACGGATAGAATTAGACATCTGCTGTTTTCCATAATGCCCAACCTAGGTTGTGTTTGGTACCATTATTGTTTCAACCTAAAATTTTGGGCTGATCAGTATAAATTGGCATACAAATGCATGTGTGAGAGACTATTTACAGCAACATCAAATTGGAGTTTCTTGTTAGGGGGTGAAGTCTAACCATTCTAATTGAAGTAATTCTCACATATGATGTGACAATAGATAATCTTTCACCAATTTGTATTGATTAATCTAAAACGTTTTAAGTAAAAACAGCAATGGTACCAAAGTACACAAGCATAGTTTGCAGACTGTAGAGCGACAAATCCAGGGATTGCATGAACAGTCGGTCAAGAAGGTAAGATGGCTTAGCTTGATGCATTCCACCGATTTTAAGGCTTTTGGTTTATTGACCAACACACACAAGACAGAGTGAGAACCATGAGAGTAAAAGGATGTAATTTTGGCTCCTGTAAGGTACTTTTCATTTTTTTTCATGGTGCATGTTAAAAGTTACTTCATCCTAACATTTAAAAAATTTCACAAAAACAATTTGGCCTTGCATCCACCATGAAAAGTGATTGTACCTGCTTTTCAAAAGGAGCAATAGCTTTTTAGGAAACGAACTATTCATCGTCAATGTTAGAACTACCAAGACATCGAGGCAGAAGCATGATGGGTTGTCACAGATTCAACGGTTAGATAACTTGGCTTGACGTATCCTAATAGGCCTGTCAATGATACCTGAAATTCTACAATCCGATCCGATTGAAAATCAATCAGATCAAATTTGGATGTACTCTCATCTGAAACAATAAAAATCCGACTCTAATATAGTATCTATACTATATTATATAGAGACATGGTCCACATCAGCATACCTTTGTTTTCTCAAAGCCCCCCTTTTCTTTACTTTGTCCTTGATTTCCTCTCTTTTCTGTCTCCCTTTCCTCCATTCCCCTTCCTATTCCTTCCATGTAATCATGTGGTATCCCTCTCATCTAAATTAGAGTCCCACTCCACCTCTCTCTCATGTTTCCAATCACTTAGCCAACTCCCTCCTACAATTTCTCCTAAACTATCTCCCCCTCCTAAAATTTCTCCTAAACTATAGTACCACTATCTCCCACTTTCTCTTAAATTATCTCTTATTCCTATTTATCTCCTATAATAGATAATTTATGAGATAGTTTCTCTCCTAAATTATCTTTAATTTATATTTATATAGATATACTTGGCTATGTCTCCATATCAAGTATAATCAGTTTTAATTTGCATTTCAAATCTAGTCCAGTTCTATGCAAGATCGATTATGCAATTTCAAATTTCAAAATCACTAGGAAATTTGTTCCCAAATTGRGTTAGAAAAAATTTAGAATTTCGACCATGTTTAATTTGATTTAAAACCCTTACAAGAGTAGTATCAGAGCACTAGGTTCAATTCTTGGAATGAATAAATCAGATTTGAAAGAAACATCAAATTGGCATGAACTAATGACAATTTGACCTAATCAGCATATTAACTGGGCCAATGGTCTAAAATTTAATCTTTATATTTTCTAATATTATTTCGAATGATTCTATGGTGAATTCTTGAATTATTGGGCTGAAGGTGTGTGGAGATTGAATTCTTTTTTGGTGACAAGTTTAGTGCACGCCATGCAATTTTGATATTAATGTTCTGTAATTAATTAACTTTTTTTTTTAATTTTTCTAGATAAGATGTATTAGGGTTTTTCCTAATGTAATCATTAGGAATTAGGGTTTTCTAAGTTTGTTTACATTRGAGAACAAGTTAGAGATCGAATAGAATGATAGAGAACAAGATCAAGGTGGAGATAACAGATTGATGGTGTAAGTACATAGTGATCGGTAAGACCATCAAAGTACAAAGGGTGTCAAACCAACACTACATGAACCCCTGCGATGAATCTAGAACCCATCGCACGGATTTATGATGAACTTGAACATGCGTAGAGCTGCGATGAACCCAACACCATTATAGAACCGCAGAATCACAATAGGTCGGGAATAAATGCCAATTACATGTATGTCTTTAAATTGTGCATGTGGCTTAATACACCCATCAAACGATGTCACCCATGCCACGTCAATATAATAGGGTCRCATATGAAGAGAATCCGAAGGGGATAAGATTCTCCAATAATGATCCCATTAATAATCAAACAAAAGGAAATATCTCATTTCCAAACAGAAACGATTCTCTTTCCTAACAGGAAAGCACTTCTTCCTAGATAACTTTAAYTTTCTCTCTATAAAAGGGGGAGAGCAATTCTTCCCTAGGGGAACACAAGAGAATGATAGCTCTAACTTAGAGTTTCTGAGAGGCAGCCAACTCCCTTCTCTTCTCTCTTCTCCTTTCTTTCCCACTGCCATATCTGGACCTTCGGAGATTTACTAACCTCCGCCTTACCATGGTGATTGCATTAGAATCTCTAGTTGCATCTTTGATCTTCGRAGAAGGTTATGGCAATTATATTATCATTCGAGAATTCAAAAAAAAGGGGAAACCTTTTTGACGAAGGGGTTTTAGGGGGTGTGATTTCACAAGCAACAAGCTTGCTATTGGAATCCATGGAGTATCTATCTGTCGTTCTCCCTAGAGTTATTTGACTAATTCGCCTCTTTGATTCATTCAGTCGTTACCTGTCCCTATTTTGGATCATATCTCCCTCTCTTTCTCCGATTTTGTTTTCCTACCAACATGGCCAAGAATAATGGACACCTGTAGAAGGGAATAGTGTAAAACGAAGTGAAAAAGAAGGGGAAAGAGGTTTTTTACTGTAGATCGTCTTCTTCCTTTGGTCATCGGATAGCAGTAGCGACGGAAGTGAGTCCAATCATGAAGTTCTTCATAGTGGCGGCCCTCAGTCCTAAGAGCCCTCTTTCATTGGATCTTCAATAATTATTTTCACCATTTTCGCGGATCTCTTTGGTACTTGAACTGTCATCTACAAGCCACAACAAAGTGGAGTTTTTCCCCTGCGTCATCTATTGAATTCAAGCCAACATATAACATAGGTAAGCTCTGTTATTTTTTGCCCGATTGTATTTCTGATTGTTTTGTCCATTCTTATGCACTTCCACTGGTTGTTTCAATATAGAGTGAGCTTCTGAAGAGAGATGTTGGGGCTGGTAGCGAGATGATTGTCGGACCCAACATCTGTAAATTCTTCGAAACCAGCTTATTCCATCATCCTATAATCCTCGTATTTACTTAGGGATTTAGGAAGAATTCTGTGATTCTCTTTTTAACCTGGAAAAAAAAAACATTCTTGAGAAAATCATCTCTCTTAAGATTGCCACGTGACAAAAACAGGTTAGGTTGACCCGTATATTCGAAAAAAAAAAAACATTTTTGAAAGAATCATCTCTCTYAAGACTACCACGTGACAAAAATGAGTCACGTCAACCCATATACATGAAAATGAAAAAAATACAAAAATACCAAAAAATTGCAAAAAATTCAAAAAAAATACAATAAATAGAAGAAAATTATGAAAAATGCAAAAAAAATATAAAATATGCAAAAAAACCAGAAAATTTTAGGAAATGCATGAAAAATACCAAAAAATGAAAAAAATATGCAGAAAAGCACAAAAAGTTGTAGAAATGTAGAAAAATACTAGAAACTTTCAGAAAATGTAGAAAATACCAGAAAATTGCAAAACAAATGTAGAAAAATACCAAAAACTTACAGAAAATGTAGAAAATAGCAGAAAATGCAAAAAGAATCAGAAAATGTAGAAAATACCAGAAAATTACAAAAGTGCAGAAAAATACTAAAAAATATAGAAAATGTAGAAAATATAAGAAAAATTACAAAAATGCAAAAAAGCAAAACTTTTATAGAAGTGCTTTCACAAAAGTACTTTTATAAAAGTACTTCTATTAAAGTACTTCCGTAAAAGTGCTTTCATAAAAGTACTTTCGTAAAAGTGCTTTCATAAAAGTACTTTCCTAAAAATGCTTTTATGCTTTCATAAAAGTGTTTTCATAAAAGTACTTTTATAAAGGTCATTTCATGTAAAAGTGATTACATAAACATACTTTTATGAAAGTGCTTTTATGCTTTCATAAAAGTATTTTTGTAAAAGTACTTTCACAAAAGTGCTTTCATGTAAAAGTACTTTCGTAAAAGTGCTTTTATGCTTTCATAAAAGTTTTTTCACAAAAGTACTTTCATAAAGTGCTTTCATGTAAAAGTGCTTTCGTAAAAGTCCTTGTCATAAAATTTCTTTTGTAAAAGTGTTTTCTTGTGTGAACAAGAAAGTTAAAAAAATCTATTTTATTTCACATTTAATATCAAAATGAGATGTGGTATAGTGGTTTGGAATTGTAACGAGATGTGGATGCGCTAGAAAGCTTGAGTTTGAGTCACTTCAGTTATTCTTATTTTGAGATTTGGCAAG